TTACTTTTCTTCTTTTCTGCCTAAAATCGTTTTTTTCGTTTTATTCCTTTCATGATTATTTTTCGAAGATAATACTTTAGCACAATGTTAGCACAACTTAGCACAACCTAGCACAATAAAAAAAATTTCGAAAATCAAAAAGTGGGGGGCTACCAAAAAAAACGGTTTTTTCCATTTTTCTCGCTCATTTTTCGTATTAAAAATTTATAATTCGAGCACAATGTAGCACAAACCTAGCACAAATCAGCACAACTGTCAAAATTAATAAATTCGAAAAGTGGGGGGCTAACTTCATACAGGCAACAAATTCACCACGAAAGACACTCATTGTCGAGTGTTTAATGACGTATAAACAACGGAGCGAACTAAGAATTTCCCTTCGTATTCTCGTAAAGGAAAGATCAGTTGTAAGTTAGATGGAAAATCCGTCATTAAAAACGAAGATCGCCGCAGGTTATCCTGTAAAACGTGAGTGCCCAAGGCGTTTGTCCGTGTAGAAAATATCACTGATGATAGCAGCGACATATAGTCGGGGATATATAATGCACGTTATTCCTCGCGTGAGGCGCCCTTAGGTGCCGCCCATCGGTCTCGACGAAGTCGCGCCGTGCGTCATGTCTCGTAGCGTTGGCGAAAGTGCGTATCGGAGGGCAAACGTAAGGTATGAAAGAAAGAGTGGAAAGGAGAGGAGAGGGAGGAAAGGCGAAGAGTCCCCTCATTGCAACGAGTAAGCTCGCCATTACTCGCACCGGTGTGCCCATGTTGGTTAGTGCCTTAAATTAGTGTACGCGTGTGGTGTAGAACACATATACGTCGGCTATATAAAGCTGAATGGACCTTCGATGTACTTTACGACGGGCTGCGCGGTGTACATGCGGAACGGACGCGTGTAGTACACGCTACGTAAAAAGGTCGTCGTTGCGAGAAGGCAGGCGCGCTCGCGAAAGCATTAGCTGCACCTTCGACGAGCGATGCGCGACTTGACCGAAGGTGCGAGTCCTATTTAATGAGCCACGTAACGAGAAACACGCGAGAAGCGCGTCGACACGAACGTTAACTTTGCGCACGGTTCCTAGAATTCAGTTCTGAAAAGAATCGGATCTCTTATAAAATGATCTGTACAGCAACTTGTACACTTCAGCGCCAAACCCCGATATTTTGAATGGTCAAGTTAACCTTCTGCAGCGCACTTTATTTAACATAATCACATAACCTGTGAGTTGCCTCTGGTTACTCTCTTGAACCATAAAGTGCGCCATACATATCTTAATGTTATAACAAATATTGCAAACTGTTCATTGACTGGATGGTGTTCAGTTGCTGGACAGCCGACAAAGAACGAGATCTTTATATGCAGGCAGAAGCGACGAAATATCCCCGACTTTATTTAACAAATACGGCAATGCTTTCGCAAAAACGTGACATACCCGCGCACGATAGAAGGGTATCGCGCGAGCTTGAAACGCGGCCGCGCTTAATCATACGTCCCTGCAGGGCTCGGCTCGTGTAACCGACGTATCATTAAGACCGAGCCGCTCCAAATGAGAGGGAAGAAAAAGGGAGATCCTCCCGTCGTGCCTCAGATCGGATTATACAGATACGACGGCGGTGCGTGACGAGCACGTATGTTATACGCACCGTTGTCTCGCCTGTACGATCGTGCGCGTGTCCTGCGAAGAGATACGAGGCGCCTGGATGCACTTGGTTCTGCGCTTCGTCGTCGTCGTCGTCGTCGTCGTGCGATATTATCTTGTCTTTCGAGCACTTCAGATAAGCCGCTCGAGAAGTCGCCGATATACTCGCGGCATGTTCTCGTGATTACGCGACTTTTTCCCTTTTTAATCTTTTACGCGTAAGGTATGCACGAGTGCATCTGACGCAAGTGACAGCCGCGAAGATGAAAGTTCATTTTCCAAAAAGACTTTGCTAAACCTACGAATAAATCAAAATTTTCGTTTGTCATATTTAAGAAGGAGAAATTTAATCCTTCGTATACAATGTCGACTCTATGTGTCTGTACAATCATTTCTGCAGAATGTACTTACCAGCGCGAGTTATGATGGCCTTCTGCTTTTCCGCCAATGTGAATTTTCTTTTGTAGCTGGAGCTATAAAAATTGAAAGTTTCGCATCGCTGCGAGTTCAGTGAATTCGACAGGTTCTAACGTGAAAAACACGATAGTGTGTGTGTGTAAGAAATTTTCAGTAATCTCTATATCTCTAGAAAAAAATTTGTCTAAAATACTATTGATTTTAGACATAGTAGTTTATAGTTGTCCGGATCAGGCCCAGATTGTACTGTACGTCCCAAAGAATATGATTGCACACGGAAGATTAACGCAATGTTGAGATTCGCAAGCCTCGCTACATTGATATTCTCGTCTCTATTCTACCTTCAATTCGACGATGAATTAAGCTCGACGTGTAGCACACGAGTCTGGTCGTTTCGACCATAGGGAGTGCACGGCGCCAGCGATGCGGGCTCCGAAGGTAGTACACGAGGGGTTTCTCCTCCGCGATTAACTTCCAGCGGCTGCGGCGGCGGCGGCGGCTGCGGCGGCGGCAGCGGCGGCGGCGGCGGCAGCATCGGCGGCGATGGTGGGGGTACACCGTGACGGCTGCATCAAGCGCGCAGCACGAGTTTTCGGACGGCAGCGTCACGAGATAGGTCTCCTTGTTGGCTGCTCTGTTTTTTCCTCGGTGTTTTCTTTGTCGCGCTGTGTGTCGTCTCTTCTCTCCCCTCGGCACAGAGAGATCGCGCGCGCACTATTAAGACATCTCGTATTTTCGCGTGTGCGTGTATCGCGGGAGTATTTCGACACTTATATTTCCCGTCTTCTTCTGCCGCTCCAAGATACCGTGATACAGTGTATGACTCCTCCGACACCCTCATGGTCGGTGACCATCTCGGACACCTGTATGGTAACTATCCGAACGAGCGAGCGAGGAAGTTTGTCTGCGTTGTGTGCGAGTGTATGTCTCGTCGAAACTTGAGCGCGGTCGATAGGCGAAATTGAAGGCATCGCGGCCAGTGACCCATATAGCGCCACCCTTTAAAGACACCCCGGAAAATCGGCTGAATAGTGACTATTCGGTCTGCGCTGCGTTGAATCGCATACATAGATAATAGATCCAACTGCACTTTCTTACACTTTCTACATATTAAATGAGACGAGCGTATGTCCGGAGGAAAGGAAAAATGTGGGAAACTGTAGAAAGCGCAGCTGAGGAAGCGGTTATTGTACGCCGCACCGCGCGATGTTTTAAACCGCCGCCTTAGAAGTAAATAAACAGAAAAAACGCTGTTTCACTTTTCAGTTAACGCTTCCGTTGTTATCGCCGCACTTTTGCGCGTATACAAGGCGCACGGTAAAAACTGTAACGAAAGAAAGTCAACATTGTCGAGGCTCACTGGCGAAGAAAAAACAAAGAAAAACAAACTATTGACTTTCCTGGGTCTCTGTTTTTTCTCGACTCTCGCGTTAACGAATCGTTGACCCAATTTAAGCTTTCCTTGAACTTGGACGAGTCGTTCTTCACGTGCTTAAGCCGCCTCTTGTTGGCTTCCTGTAAAGTACGTTCTCTCGCGCGAACACATTTCTCGCCGTGACATGCTCGTGACGTTATCTAACGAAAATTCCGAGATACTTTTCGATCACGTCGGGAGAACTCGCGCGTCTATTCACAGCCGCTTTACGCGGGATAATGCGCTTCTCGAGAGCGCCGGGCAATGCACTTTTCCTTCAAACGAAACGTAACGGTACGTACGGCACGAAGTAAACGACGCGGTAAATACGGCAAAACGTGTAGCGAGAACGGATCGACTTTGCCGATCGTTGTTCGACCACTGCAGTCCGTTCGGCATCGCAGATGCGTCCGCGATGAAGAAGAGTATGGAAAATTGGTAGCGATAACGCGCCGCGTTAAAACATCAGTGCCGTTCCGCGGTTGTCAACTGTCAACGAGCACCTTGAGATGTGCGAGATGAGCGCATCTTTAAATCGACGCGAACTTCGCTCGCACATCATTGGCGTAATAAAGCGATGAATAAAACTAGAAACATCAGGCGACAGATATGTAAATAGAGGTGAATTCCTGGCGGGAACATGCACGACGGGAATACATTCCCACCGAGTTAATTAATTTAGTGTCGACGACGGGAGACACTCGCTATATTCGGAATAGTGTCAAAAGTCACCGACCCCGAGAGTTCAAACAAAAGTAGCCGGATATTTGTGAACAAAAGGACTCTCTTTTGCGTAAATGATGGAAAAGTTTTGAAAAATTTCGAATATGATTGTACCGCGCATCCGTTATCCGCCCCCCCCCCCCCCC